AAGAAAAATAAATCAAATTCCATCCTAATATTACCACATGTTGATGTTAATAATCAATCAAAAATATTTTACATGTAAGCCTTAATTAAGCTTGTAAATAAACTTCATTGAATACTTGAATTTTAGCTGGGTTTTTTTAATTTAAAATATATATTTTATATCATTAGCCTCAAATTTTTGCTTAAAATTCCCAGTAATTCTTAAACATTCCTAAAAATTCCTGAAAATTCCCAGAAATTCCTAGGAATTTTTTAGATTTACAGCTTTTCAGGGAAAGTCATTGGTTCTCTGAGTTGGAATTCCTTGGAATTCCAAGTCCTGTTGGCTATAAACTTGGAATTTCTAGGTTTTTAGAACCAGAGTTGTTATGGTAGTCCAAATTTACCGTGAAAATTCACGCCTTTATTTATTATGATTTTCTTAGGAATTCCAAAATCCATTTCACAAGGATGCTAGCTACCACAATTTTTATACTTAAGTCCTCTGTAGCAGGAAGTCTTTTCAAGAACTTGAGTGTACCTGAACCATTTCCACACAAAATGTAACCTGGTTCAACAGATACATCTCAGCAATATCTTTGTTCTTAAAAAAAAAAAACTTGAGATTTTGCAATGGCAGTGAGTGTGTTATAATCTTGTCAATGTTCTCCAAAATACTTGCATTCTGTTGACCCTGAGAGGCAAATACATTTTTCTAATTAACAATAGTACCGGTAATTGCTTTTAGTGACCAAAGTTATTGATTGAGGATTAGAACAACAGCCACTCTGGTAAAAAAATAAAACACAAAATTGTTCATGATTGAAAAAAGATCCACTGAATCTTTGACACAATAACTGTTTACTGGCTGTAGTTCAATAATCTTGTGATCTTCGTTAGATCCTTATCCAAAGAAAAACAAATAAAGAACCCTGTACCTGAAAATGATACTACTTGAATGTTGTGCCTCTCAATAGCACTTTCCTGTCCTGGTTTGGTCTTTAATTACCACAATTCTCTCCCTCTCCTTCATACTGTCTAGTCCAAAGTCAGACAAAACAGCATTGCAATCCTTGAGGTTTCCACAGTCATGGGCAAACATGCCAAGTGAAACTAGCAACTGCTCAGTGATCCTCAGCTCACAATTTCGCATGACAAAAAAATGACGAAACGCCGCAACCCAGTGCTAAAATCTTGACATACAAAACGTCAGTCGAAAAACCGATTGGAATAGTTTGAACGATCTAGTAAAAGCTCCATTAACCAGTAGCGTTTACTATTACAACCATCTCCCACCCCTCCCTACGTAGTAATAGTCCGTCTCTCACCCCCTCCCTGAGTAATAACACTGCCTCCTACCCCTCCCTTAATACTTATGACTGCATCCCACCCCTCCTTGAGAACTAATGGTGTGCTTCACCCCTATAGAATGGTCTAAAAAATGGTCCAACTAGACCCTGTGAGCAGGGTAACTGGGATACCTGGATGGTGCTGGACCCTTGGAATCAAGTGTAGTGATACTACGGGTGTCGGACTAGTATACTGAAATAGTGCGCTCAAGTCTGGCCCAAGGGCATACACCTATTTCAAAACATAGGTATGCTATGCATGCAAGAGTTTTTTTTTTTTATAGGGTGGGTGGATTACTTGAAACATTGTGAGTGATGTCTACATTCTTACAAAAGGAGAGAAGAATATTAATGCGGGAAAGAACGAAAATGTCGAATTACCTCACTCACAGGTATTTTGTGGTAGATTATGTGTGTTGCGCGAATAAATGTAACCAAAAATAAACTATTGGTGCCACGGATACCTGTTAGTACAAAATGCAGACTGCAGACCGGATACAAAATAAAGACTGCAGACTGCAGAGTGGGTTCAAAATGCAGACTGAGAATCTGAAGAGTTTTTACGTCTGGTATTTAATAACAGGTCATCTTACAGCTTACCGAGTGTCACGCAATCGCTTTTCTGCGATCAGCCTTCACGATTATTTGCACTATTGTGGAATATTCCTGGCCCATTTCTTGATGAAAATCGATCACAATATTATTTCAAGCCTTAAATATAGTCTTCTTACTTTGCGCGCGAGTTGGTTGGTGTGATGTCGGTACAGATTTTACCAACGTAATAAAAGTAGATGACGTGATTAACTGTGAGGGTAAAACAAGCTTAAAAAAGCAGAAATCGCCAGAAACTACAACGGAACCGCTCAATAACATCTTTTAGTGTGGATAAGCCGCGAATAATACGACTTGTATATGCGTCTGTAAGTTTTTTGAGCGTTTGCGCCATAATGCTCCAGGAGATCGCAATCCAAATACGTTGAAATACAAAACGGCTGACAAAAGAGTTTCATTCCTCAAGTGACCCGGCCCTGTCAGTGCATGACAACGTCAATCATCATCAAGTTAACACGCGTGATCAGCATGTGAACACCTCACTGGATCACAGTTAGTTGTCATGGTGTTGAGGGCCCAATGACCACTGGGTACTATTGCGCAATTTTTCCATTTTGTGGCGGAGGAAAAAAAAAGACAAAAAACAAAGGCATTTTATGACTGGGCTACCACAGGTATCCCAGTAAAAAATGGTCCAGTCCATATTTTACTCTATGCCGGAAATGAGATATTGTACAAAATCAAGCAATTATTCAGCGATTATCAAAACCAGCTGTCAAGGTGATGATGGAAACTTAGCGATATTTGACGTCGCACCATAGCAACCAGCTTTTTCGAATATTTGAACTTCCGTTTACCTGAGGCTCGTGATGTAGTGAAAGTAAGCCTCGTTCTGATCCCTAACTCCGAGAGGATGGGCTAATTGGCTATGCACCCATGGCCAACTCACGCTGAACACCTACGGAACGCTCCTTTTGGATTGCTTAGTGTCATCTGTTAGAAGATAATTTTCCTGTTCTATTACTTTGGATTTAAAAGCCATAACATGGAGGAATAATTGGCATCACATCGAGGAAAGCGCGTGAAAATCGTCAGTGTAAGTGTTAATACTTTTCTCTCTAATGTGCAAGAGGCGGATTTTTTTCTTGCCTCCAAAGATTATGTTATTCATAAAGTGTAATTCTGGTGTTATTAGGGAGGACTTTCGCGATCTGTGTCAGAGTTTGAAGCTTTGTAATCCTTCGAAAACATCTTACTTTCGTTAAAGCTCGTTGCTTCTCGTACCGAAGTAAATCTGAAGTTTGTCACTGATCCTGAGCGAAATCAAAAAGAGGAAGTCATTAGATCGAAGAGTAAATGATCTATTAGAGTGGAATATCTCGATCCTTTCTCATCACCTGGAAACTTCGATATGTGAGTGATGTTTATGTTATTCCGTTAGTATCATGACAGTACTAGAACAAGTTGTTGCGCATTTAATGAAATGTAAAAGCCCGATATCAGCGAAGAAATGACAATTACTGAACAATTAGTAAACTAGGGCGGCCGCAATTCGTGTTGGCAATCGTAGAGTTCACTTTGATTCCGAGTTTCTTGGTAATTTTTTATACCTTGATTAAATATTTGTATCATCGCCAACTGGTTTATCGTTATTATGTCTTTTGAAGTTTGCAAAGCAATCCTTTAGTAGGATAAATGCTAGGAATAGTGATTCAATTCTATCCGTACTTCGTCGGTTGCATAGCTTCAGTCCAAGCATACCGATGCTGTATAGCTTGTGACGAATTTTATTTGAATAACATTTTTGGACATAGTAAGGGGTAATTAAATACTTAAATGGCAAAACTGTGTTGCTGAAATAAAGGTAACTTTCTGTCCGCACCACTGAATACACTTGTGGTTTGGAAATTTTTTCTCTAACATGCGCTAATATGTAAATTTTTTGACGCCGAAAACATCGACTTCTCATTGGACGATTCACATAGCCTCAGGTGCACATCCTGTCACGCTTCACATTTTCATACATTTTCAACGACTCACGACTTAGAGACAACATTCGTTGAAGAATACAAGTCATCTATTAAGGAAGAAAAGAAACAAGAAGTAAGAAAAAAGTACGCATGACGTCGAAGGACTTGAACCAGACTGCATTTTATTCATGGCAAAGTGAACCTAATAGCGTGCAGAGTTAACAGCAAACTCACTTCGTTAAGTAAATATTTCATCTTCCATCAGTTCAGTGCAGAGGTTTA